GAGTTCGAACCCCCGCTCTGGATAGCCTGATATCATGCAGTAGTGATACCAATTTTTACTCGAAAATGCATAAAAAATATGTTTCGAATTGAAAATAGCCCATTCAAGGCACTGCAATGTGAAATGACAATGGAAAATCTGTCGTTACCTACTAATATTTCTCATGAGGTTTTTATAGAGCAATAGAGCTATTCTGTGAAATTGACTACTCATACATATTATCTCATATTAAGGAAGAAAATTCAATAACTTTAATGTTTATAATGTATAATCTCAAATTAAGAAAAAAAAATCAACAACTTTAATATTTGGCATCATAGAAGGTGCATTCTACTAAATTATCAGTAAAAAAAACATAGTGGAAGAAACTCTAATATTTTACATACATGAGGTGAAATAATATTAAACATCTTACTAAAAACGCGTAATATAAAGACAATAAAATAAGAATAACGTTTTGCGCAAATTTGTATTTTTTGTTTAAATTTGCTTAATGCACAATTTTTTTATATATATTTTTGTTATATATTATTTGAAAAGCAATCAGAATTTAAGGATCCATGAGGAACATCGATTTTTGCAGGTGGCAACCCAAACAATGTTCTATCTCTACGTGATTTTTTTTATTAGAAGTTCTGTAATATTGATAAATTTTTAATTGTTGCAGCAATGCCGGGTAAATGCAATTTTCAAGCAAAAACCGATATTACTACTGCTTGACATCAGGATGCCCGAAGCAAGTATCGAGTCTGGAACTAATTGAAACTAGAAATTTCTGTTATTTTTGAAGAAATAAACCAAAGTAGGTTAGAACGCAGCTTATAAATCCGCGGGTAAATCGGTCCACCATCGATATCTTAAAAACAAGTAAAAGTACGAATTTTTTAACAACAATATTTGAAAGTAGAAGGAAAATGGGTGAATAACCATCAGCCAGCACCTTGTTTCTTAAGACGTTGCTATCGGGAGATAAAAGGCAATATTTGAAAATCCATAACAAAAGTATTTTATTTCGTTTTTTTTGGTTTAGTTTACAAGACCTTGAAAATAAGTTTAGGTATACGTTAATTATTTGTATTATAAAATGTATTGTTAATTTTAAGTTAGATTCAACTGTTTTTTTATATAATTTCTATAAAAGCTTAAACGTGGGTGGGGTAAAAAGGACCAACTAAACCTTTTCCCTGGCGTAACCAACAAAAAAATAGTAAATAAAATAAAAATTCAGTTAAAAAAACCATTTTAGAAAATATAAATTAAATTAATAGTTATTCCAACGCTGCTGATGAATATTTCTGACGAAATTCCAAGATCAAGGTTATACACAATATACAAAATTATAATGTCTTTGTAAAAAATGTGCCCATGAAATTTAAGTTTTGCATTGGTTAAATATTGTAGCTATTATTTCGTAAAATCCCTTTAAAATTAAAAATAAAACATTGGATTTGTTTTAGGACCAGGTGAACACTTTTTTTTAAAAAAATAGAGAAAAAATATATTTATACAATAATGAATTAGTTAGGAGTTGTACTAAACATAGTCTGATTTTTGTTTGTTTGATATGTGATATTCGTTGAGATGTAATTGATCAGAGTGAAATTCCTTTGTGACTCGCTCTACCCTATGAATATTCATAATGATATCAAGCCTTTGTGAACATCTTTGAAAATATCAGAAATTGCTCTTAAACATAACAAAAATCAGTAGAAAAATTTTAGTTCTTTGACAATAACAACGCTTTATTATAGAGTTTTATACCCATAAATATTATTATATATACCTCTATTATAGAAAGCCCTACCCTATAAATATTAACAATGATATTGAGTCTTTGAACCTCTTCGAAAATATCAGGCTCTTAAACAAAAATCAGTCGAAAATATCAGACTCTCAAACAAATATTGCTCTTAAACAAAAATCAGTAAAAATCTTTTAGTTTCTTGACAAAAACAACGCTTTATTATAATTTGAGATCAAAAGTCTAAAAAAAATCAGATTCGTTTTTTTCTGTATTTGCAAGAAAGTTTCAATTTTGTTCCTTTCACGTAATAAGAACGTGGTTTTACGTACGCGACCCCAAAGTTCAACGGAATTGATTAGAATATGGAGATCGCACATATACGTACAAGTCAATGTAATAAATGTAAATAATACTTCATAACATCAGGTTCAATATCAATATGCATATTCATATTATTATAAAGATATTGAAATTACCTGGGAAAAAGAAAGACAGCTTATAGTTTGTTTTTGAAAAATAATCAATAGCGCAAGCTTAAACTTAGAAAACTTTAAACATTAAAAAAATACGAATTTGAACTTGAACATAATGAAATAAGATGTTAATTTAATTCACCTGTAGTTAAAATTACTTACTTAGAAAACAATTCAGATGACAAAAATTAGTTCTTCGTTCTTCGTATAAAAGTAATTTAATTTTATCAGAATAAAATAAAATAAAAGAAATGGTCCAAAATATAAAAAAAAATCTTAAGGGTGGCCAATCCTTGCCACTTATGGGTATAAAAAATTGATGATTCTCAGCCATACTGAACGTAATTATAAAATTTCATAAAAATCGGTCAAACCGTTTTGGAGGAGTATTGCTACGAACTTATATATTAGGGTGGTCCTTAATATGAGTAATTTTCAAATATTATTACTCCTAAGGGCTTAAAAGCTTCCAAATTGCTTCTCTTGTCTGTCATTTTTTATTGAAAATTCGACGCCCTGCAAAACAGGTTTTTTATAATTTGTTTTGTAGAGCGTCGAATTTTGAATTCAAAACTCATTTATTTGTTCGCTAAGTTATATCTAAAAAACATTTTTAAATTTTTGAAAATTTTTCCATGCTATTTACATACAAAACTTTGATTGAATTCCGCACTATCTATAAGACAATATTGAGAGCCAAAACTTATAGAGATTTTTTTTTCATCAATTTGGAAGCATTTGAGCCCTTGGAAGCAAGGAAATTCGAAAATGTCCATATTAAGGACCACCCTAATATATATATATATATATATATATATATATATACTAGCTGACCCGGCAAACCATGTAAAATATTTCTAGGACATTTCTAGAATAACAAAAAAAAACTAAATTACTATTAGCAAATTAGGAGCTTGTGTTGGAGGCTAAAAATTTAGGACAGCATGTGATTTTTAACTGTGCATTAGAACAAACAATATTAAAGAAATGACCAAAAGAGTTCAAAAAAAGTTTTATGGTGGACTCTACATCTTTATTTTGTACAGTAAAAATTAAGCTTTTCTGCAGGCCCAAGAAAATCTGATTTAAAATTATAAAAAAATAAAGAAAATAAGTATCAAAATTTAAAATATATTAGAAGCAGACAACCCTTAATTAGAAATGAGTTTTTTTTAAGTTAAATATGAGTTTTTTCGTAAGTTTAAGAAAATCTTAATCGATATTCAGTAAAAAACATGAATTGACTGAAAGTGGGATAAAAAATTATTCGATTACTAAAATCGACTATTACGAAATATGAGTTTGTGAAAGAAGGGTAAAAATTTAGGGTTGCTTGCGTTTTCAAATTAGGAATTAAGAAAAAATACAGTAAAATAATTTGGTCCAAAAAAATTAAAAAAACATCTTAAGGGTAGCCAACCCCATATTAAATCAGTTATACTGAACGTGATTGTGAGATTTAATAAAAATCGGTCAAAGCGTCTCGGAGGAGTATTGCGACTATATATATACATATACATACATATATACATATATATATATATATATATTTATTTATTTATATAGATATATATACTTCGACAAATTTAATAAATAAAAAAATGCAAAAATAAATGATTAGGAGTTACAATTAGGGCTAATAATTTCCATACACTCATTACTCTATTACTTAAAATGTTTTCTCTTCAAGTGTCTAATTATTTCATTTGACGTCTATTGAGTGAAATGAAGGAATGAAATGAAAGCATTATGTTAAAAATGGAGTTATTTAAAAATGCCAGGTTAAAGAAAGTGTATCGAAGCATATTTACATATAAATTAGCTTTTATATTATTGATGTATGTGAATGACCATTATGCCTCATTTTCCACCTCCAAAGCATTGATTTACATATAAATATATATGGCTCCCATCAATTATTTATTCGTGCATTTACAAAAATGACAAAAATTTACCTAAATATTTCCAAATGTTTCCAATGAATAGCATGACACTAAGGAGTCTCTGTCAATATCTTCAGAACTAAACACTAAATGTCTCATAACACAACGGCATATTATTCTTTAAACACTGATGATAAATGTATCGAAAAGTGCGTCACAGCAAACCAAAAAACAAATCAAAATAAAACCAAAAACGTAAAAAAGTAAATTAATTCGATAGAATTCACCGAAACCTTGCGAGTCACTGAAAAAAGTAGAGAATATAGTTTAATGCAAATCAATATCCAACACAGTAAAAGAAAACAATGTACAAAAATTAAACCGAATATTCAAATTCATCAAAGCAGCGATAAAAGACTACTGACGCCAATACGATTTTTATTTGAATAATTAAGAATCGATTGTGCTTCTTCATTTAACAAATACACGTGCATCATCGGATTTAAATTTTGGTTTATAAAGAAAATAGAAATATAAATAAGTTGGAAAAGTCGGCCACCGCAATTTTCCACTCTAAAAGTTGATCAATAAAAGTTTCCAACTTCTCTTTCCGCGTTTCTCAAGGTCCTGTTACGATTATTTATTTGCAATAAATAAAGATGTAAAAATAAAGAATCGATCTCAGATATCTCTTACTCAATAAAAACCTAAATTTGTAACATACTAGAATCTATTTTGATTTAAGAGAATAATGTTAAAAATCCTAACAAAAAAAAATTCGTGCAATATCACTCATATTCAAAATCAAATATAAAAACTCTACCTACTAATCTACTTAATACAAAATTTCAGATTTATTTAAATTTGGAAAATAACTAAATTTTATCCCCATGCATTTACCTTTCTTGCGACCCATTTATTTTCTATCTGTCGAGTTTGGTTACTGAATCGTTAAACAGGAACAAGTGGCCATGGGGTTTCTGAATTTTAATAAAAATTTTATAAATTAATTTCTGAAATACTGAATAAAAAATAGCATGCACGAAATTTAATTACATTACGTAATTACATCTCTTTTATCAACTAATGTGTTATAAATATTTAAAATTGCAACTTATAGAGGGAGCGTCCATTAATCATGTGAGGTTTTTAGGGGAAGGGGGGTGGTGTTGACAAAATATCACGTGGGGGGGGGAGGGGTATAGTAAGATATCACGTGTATTTATTTTTTAACTAATTGTGTTAAAAAAGTTCAAACATTTTCAAAAAAAAATCAAAAATGTTAGATTTTTCACGTAACTAAAAATAAACGTAATGTTTGGTGCGGGAGGGGGAGTAATTTTGAATATCACCATGTATCACTAAGGGGAGGGGGGGATCCAAAAATCCTCAAAAACTCGCTCACGTGAATAATGGACGTCTCCTAAGATTGAATAAGATCAAATAAGATTGAATAGCAAAATTAAGCATTAGAGGTCGTCCATTAATCACGTGATCGACTTTTAAAATTGTTTAAATCCCAGCCTTGGTGATACGTAGTGATATTTAAAATTAACCCCCCTTCCCACCCAACATTAAATGTATTTTTAGTGCTTAGAAACATTAGTAACATTTTTGAATTTTCTTTTGAGAATTTTTGGATCTGTTTTAAAATCAGATAAAAAATAAATACACGTATTATCTTACTAGCATGAACATGATATTCAATTTTTTTGTCAACCCCCCCCCTCCCCCTTTTAAGCCTTGCGTGATAAATTGGTAACCCTTACATATATTTCTCTCTCCTTCGCGAAGAAATCTGTTAAAGGCGTTATAGTCAAGAGAAACATTAGGTACAAATATAAAATTTGAAAATAAACATTGATTTATACCGTTAAATTATCCCTAATTGGGTTGTCAATTTCTGACTACAGTATCAAAGTGTGACTTATGTATAAGGTGACCATATTTTTTTAAAGTCAAAACCGGGACGACAAAACCGGGGGGGGGGTCAGGTTTGGTAATCATTTGTTTATATGAATCTTTTTTTTAAATCAGAATTGAGGACTTTCAGTAAGAACTGTTCGGTGTGAATGTTTTTTTCGCTGTTGATCCTTGTATAAAATTCAATTCATTTTCTTTATAATTTAATTTTCAAAGATATTTGCAATTGTTCGTTTATTATCATAATTTTTGTAAATTTACTTGTGTCCAAACCCGGGAAACGAGGTGGAAATCCGGGACTGTCCCGGCCAAATCGGGACGTATGGTCACCTTACTTATGTACGAAAATCCATGTGCACATATCTTAATTTAAACAAAATATGATAGTTAAGAGGCACAACTAGTGTAACCGCCTAAAAAAAGGGTGATTTTTGGGAATTTATATTAGAAAAACTACTTTATCAATCATTTCAAAATTTTAGGAATATATTTATACATGTTTTAAGAATACATAGTAAAATTTTTGAAGAAAAAAATTAAATATTTTTTAAGTTATCGTCGATCTCCAACGGCGCGACAAAAAAAGGCCCTTCACTGCTGCAGTGATTCCGGCCTTCTCCGTAGATGAAATTTAAAAAAAAATCTCGTTAAACTAGATAATATTGTCTGTAATATGAACTACGATAAAGACAAAAAATCAAAAATTGACAAAATGACGGCGTTTTTTTTAAAAAAAAGTCGAATTTTACCCAAAATTTTGGTCGTTTTTGGACTGCCAAAATTGGATTTTTGATCCGATCAAAAAATCGAAAGTTCATTTTACGGAAAACTATATATAGAACATGTAAAAAAAAATTGGTAATGATAGGATCATTTGAGTAATCGCTGCAGCAAATTCGGAAAATGCTGTTTGGAGAAAATCGCGTTTAAAGATTAAATGATCCTTATACTATATACTATATATATATACTCTTTAAATGGCTGTGACTCAAAAACTATTTAAGATATCGATTTAAAATTTTGGTATGTTATTTTTAAAGGTATAACCTATCGAAATATGGAAAAGTTGAAAATTCGATTTTTTGAAAATTTCACACTAGTTGTGCCCCTTAAAAGAGGTTAGGTACAAATTTGAAGTTCGAAAATGACCATTGATTTATACCGTTAAATTGTTCCTAATTACGTTGTTTTATTCTGACTAATGTGTCAAAGTCTGACTTATGAAAATCCATGTGCACATACCCTAACTTAAGCCAAATTTGATAGTTAAGAGAGAGGTTAGGTTCAAATTTGAAGTTTCAAAATGAACATTGATTAATACCGCTAAATTGTTCCTAACTACTTTGTCAATTTCTGACCAGAGTATCAATGTGTGACTTATGTATAAAAATCTGTATGCACATACCCTAATTTAAACACAATATCAGTTATTATGAATGCTTGGAGCTTCAAGTCATATATTACAAAAACCGGACGACCCGCGGCGATCAATGAACCTTAAACGATTATTCAAATTAATTTTAAACGCTACTAGCTGCGACGAAATTCTTGATAAACGTAATAGACATATAATCCTTGACTTTGAGCACAATTTTTCACGTGCGCGTTTTGTACTATTATGAATGAACATTTCATGAGCAGGCTGTGCATGTATTGTATATCGCGAAGTATAGATTCGCGATTCGCGCTCCGCTATTGGCCGAAATTATCGCGCCACATTGGAATAAGGGCCTCGGATTGGTCCAAAAGCACGTCAAGATCAGGGTGGCAATTAGGATTTGGAGGTCTAATTTAATTTTGAATAACTTCACATGTATTCCAATTGTGCGTATTATGCACTTGTTGGCAAATGGTCGTTATTAGATTAAAATAGCAATTCAAACCCACTTAAGAATATTTAGAGTAAAGAGCGACATTTCAATGCAAGGATTTAAGATTTATAACATGCAACAGCGAACAAAATTTGATAACCAGATAATTCTGAATTTGACCAGTATTTGAAATTAAAATTGTATAAAAATATACACCTAGCTTTTCTTTACGATTTTCTATCTAAAGTACATTCATATCCTATTATAATATATAGTGTTACAAAATCTAACAAGTATTTATTTTGAATTTTTATACATATTAAAAGTTTTTGAAAAAAAAATTTGATTAATGATATAAAACATACTATAAAACTTGAATAAAAATACCGCACAGTGATGGATAAAATATATGAAAATTCCGTATTGATACAAGAATCTTATAAGTTTTCTTTCCAAAATATAACCTTAATAACACAAATTCCTATCACTGACAACTACTTAAAATGATGTATTAACACCCTAAATTAAAAAAAACTCACCTTAATCCTTGTAAACTATTAATCTCAACCAACACTGTTAGCTTAAGTTCAAAATATAATATATATATTAGAGATTTAAAATAAATGCGAATTGTATCACAGCACTGCACAGTTATTAAAGCTCGACTAAACCTATTTATAAAATTACGTTATCACTGGCTCACATTTTCATTTATCTATTCATTAAACTGTATATTTGATTATTATTGTGATTAACATTGAATAACATTAATATCACTCAATGCGGGTCAAAGCAGCTGACCTAACGATTGATTAAACTAGACTACACTGCCATTTATTTTCTTGACCTATCCGTGCGCCGGCTTTTGTGATAGTGGTTGTAATAAAACTTGTACATTTTAGCACTGGGCTTCATTATGGTTACTAAAACTTAATAATTACTTCATATTTTATCAACAATCAAGATGACTTCAGCCAACGCATTTTAACACTGAAACTCGCTTTGTATAAATAGAATTTTCGAGGTTCTAGCGAATATGACATTTCTCAATGGCTGTCAAACGAATAAAGTTTGACGATTTTTGTTAATTTATTATTTTACTAACTCAAAATATTATTAATACTGAGATTACTCATTTTACTTAAAAACATGACACGTTGCTTTCTTTATATTTACACTTTTCTAAATGAAAATAGAAATTGAGGTTAAGTACTGACAGTTATATCAATGGCTGTCAAATGGGCATTCGCTGTTGACATTTGGTTTGCAACTTTGCTTTTGAAAACATGTTAAATCAATTGACAGTTTGACAGTTCCATTATTATTAATTTAATTTTATTAATTATTTAATAATACTCTTTTTTTATTAATATATAAATGATGTTGATGATCGCAATGCTTCTGAATAAAATAAATATTTAGGTTCTAAAAAAGACTAAATAAAAATAGGACACCAAATTAGATTCAACATAATGGTTATACAGCTTTGTAATTTAATAGAAAAATGGAAAATTGCCATAAATACAAGCTGTTGAAGTGATTAAAGTTAAATTTTACATCTATGTGAATACTTACATCTATCCCTTTCAAAAATACCCTCTACATCTTCAAAATAGATGTGCCATACAAGTTTAAGTTTAGTTATCCCTTAACCTCCAACAATGTCTTCTTTAATTCGCAAATACTGGTTTCATGCCGGAATCCTATTTGCTATTATCATGGCTATTTTCTATCCATCGCTAGGTGAAATGGGTGGTATGCTACAAAATCACAAATCAAATACTATCAATATATTTGCACTTATTTATTTTCAGGACCCCTGCAACCAGAAATGACGATACCATACATAGTCACACCAATGACCTATTTATTAACTCTCCAAGATCACAATTACTACAAAAACTCGCTAAATAATATGTGACATGTATCAATTATTTTATTTCTGTGCTACATCATAAGCCCGGTGGTTGCGTACAGCATTGCAACAATAGCAAAATTATTTTCAGTTAATGAATGGATCTTGAAAGGGTATTACTTATAAGATTATTTTTATGTTAATTTTCAATTGTTCTTTTTTAGATACTTACTTACTTACAAATGCATTGAATCATCAAGTTATAATTTTTTTAAATAATTTGTTACTCATAAGTAGTTTACTCAAATCAAAGTATGCAGACTTCATAAAAGTGCAAAAAGTGGTTTCAATCAATCAATTTTATCGAATTCATTTATAATTTTAATGTTGTTAATAAAAGTTTACTAATTACATTTATAGTCTTATATAATTACAAACTTACAAGCATAAATCTCTTTAATCCAATACTATATCATATTATAGACTCGTGGCAACCAGTTGTATGCCTCCCCCGTTGTCTTCTGGGCTACTGTTATGTTCCATAACAAATAACAAGAACCAGAAAATAAGAGAATTTGAATCATTACCTACAACACATTTTGATCAAGAAATTATAGATATCTCAAATCTTCCAGATAACTTATTAACTGCTGGTTTAACCTGTGTTATTGGTGCAATTGTTGGCTGTGTAGCTACACCGATATTACTGTTCATTTTTGTATGTACCCAATTAATGATGATCATAAATAATATAAAATATTACTGAATTTAATTATTGTCAATTACAGATAGGCGTAGGTGCTATACCGATGGTTATAGAATGCTTAATTGCCTCATTGATAGCTTTAATATCATTAGGTGTTTGTTATTTCTGTCCAATAAGGATTTGCTTTGGGTATATCAAACTTTATTTTTTTATGTATTCAACTTGTTATAAGAGTTAAATACTATTTTAGCAAAACGAATTGTAACTTGGCAATCGCACAAATGCTAATGCTATTCTCCCTTTACTGTGATATGTGTGATGTCTTCATAGAAGCCCAAGGAGGACTTCAAGCAATTGACGTTCTAGCTAGTTTATTACTAGGTATGATTTTTGGAGCAATAACTTTTTATTTCATAAGCTCTTCTTTGATATCTGAAAAGTATGTAACATAGTTATTCTTATTTTCAGTGTTCTTATTGCAATTTGTTCTACTTGTAATGTCAAAAATTATCTGTAATGCAGATAATAATTCAAATTTATTGATTCCAATGATATTTTGTGGCACACATAAATCCGTAACATTAGGTAAGACAATGAATAAAACCTATTCTGTTTACTTGATACATTATTACATATATAATTGATATTTTTTTCAATCATTCTAATTTCATTAAAGTTGATTATTACTTGTTATTTAAAATAAATGTTTCTGAAAAAGCAATGAGTACAATGATTAATAATATTGAGACAATATTCTAATTGATTTAACTGTACTCATTACAAATTTTATTTAATATGACAATAGAATCAAAATGTATTTTTTACATATTTATTTTATTTATAGGATTCCCTATTATGCAAACAATGTTTGGCGGGTTGTCACATCATATGTTCTTCAGTCTACCTTTATTACTTTACTATGCAACGCAAATGTTTATGGCCATGTTATTGATTCAATCTGGCTATTTGAATAATTATTGAATCGTTTCCAGATAAAAAAAATTAAATTAAAATAATAAGGTAGTGTATTAATAACTAAGTCTTTTTTATTAAGTAATAGAAATATTTATATAAAATGTAAGAAGAAATATTTGAGTCGGCGCACAATATTGAAGCACACATTTTTAACTTATAATATTATTAAACAAAATTATATAATAATGTTCTATAAGTCTTCTTGCAAAATTTGCTAGTAATAAAATAATTGGAAATTGATAGAGCCGTTTTACTTACATCTTTAATAATTTAGGACAAATAAGCACTCTAACAGTTCAATATTATAAATCTTGATACGAAGCCCATAGAAATGTAAAAAAAATGTATACTTATTATTGAAAA